CAATCATATCGATTTTAGCATTAATATGGACATTACATAGATCAAAATAGAAATTATGTGTTTGACATTTTCTGACAGCTACTGCGGAAAGTAGCATATTCTCACTTGGGTGGAAAGTAAATTCTTATTCATACGCGTGTGATATAGGGCACTTTCCATAGGTCTATATAGTGTGATATGTGTCACTTTCCTAAGTGGTCGTAGGAAAAGTAATATTACCTTATAATTGTTAGCAAAAAACATGCTCTATAAAAAGAAAAAGTCCTCTAATTAAAAATGGGGACTTTAAGTGGGGGTTAAAATTTAAAAATCATAAATCAACATAAAATATTAATTCAAAATCAAGATTGATTCTGAAAAAAAAATAAGGGGATAAAGTCTATTGATTCTGAAAACAATTTGAATAAAAATTAAGGGTTAAGGGGGTTAAAATATTTAAAAAAATCTTAACTCAAAAACGAAAAATAATATCAACTTGAAATTTTTAGAAAAAATCAAGCTCTATAAGGAGAAAAATCGATTTATATTTAAAAAAAAAATTGTAAAAAATGGGGGTAACGGGGGTTGAAATTAAAAAAAAATAATTACTCAAAAACGAAAAATAATGTCACTTTACAATTTTTAGCAAAAATCAAGCTTTATAAAGGGACAAAAAATTGATATCAAAAAAAAATGTGAAGGGATGCGGAAATAATAAAAAAATAGAAATCAAACACCAAAAACGATATCAACATGAAATTTTTAGTAAAAATCAATCTCTTTAAGGAAATAAAGCCTATTGATTCTGAAAAAATCTAAATTAAAATTGGGGGATAAAGAAGATGAAATATTGAAAAAATCGTAACAGAAAAAGAAGATGAAGCGCATTTATTCTAATTTTTTTTATTGAAGATGGGGTAGGAAGGGTCTATTAAAATGTAAAGAGTATAATATAGAATGCCAAGCATTATACAGTGTGGTGATAAAGTAAGGAACAAAATTCATAACAGCATTATTTAATGTTTTCAAATAAAGCGCTCGGACAGGTCAATTTTAATATTTAATTAGCTACCTTATGGCATAAATTTTTTATTTATGACGTCATTTATTTTTGCACAATGACGTCATCATTGGTTTTTTAAATGAAAACCCTATTTTTTTGCTGTGTTTAATAGATGGTCCAATTACTTAAATAATGGTTTAAAAAAATTGATACCTTAAATAACAATTTTTTTGAAAAAATAATAACTTACCGAAAGAAATCAAAATTTAACGTTAATGAAAGAAAACATCCCAAAAACAAAAAAAATTTAGCGCAAATGTTCAAATTACTCTTCTTTAATCATTTGGCATTGACCGATATAAGCATAAACACTTTTTTTTGCAAATGTACATTATCACGTCTGTACATTTTCGACAGATTTACAAATATTCGTAAATTTGACTTCACATTAGTTAACCTTAATAACACCGATCTGCCAGAAACATCCCATTTCGGTTCCATGTATATTTCTGTTTCTGACATAAATGGTACGTCTCTACGATGTCTCTAAAGAAACCTTTCTGGAATGATTTCTCAAGAACGTTTTAGAAACATCGTATTTATGTATAGGTATTCTATTTTCGTTTTAAATATTATTTTGAAAAACAATAAATTATAAAATTATTGCAATCACTAGAAATCTACAATAATATCAAACTCCAATATTAAATTTGAAAATTTTGAACAATATTTTTATTTCACAGGTCAAATTTATCTTATTATTTTCTCCAAAAAAGAGTGCAAAGTAAATACGACAGATATAAATATATCCTTTCTTCTGATTTAGCAGGAGAGTTCGGCTAATCCTCCGAAAGCTAAAAAAATACACTATTGACAGAAGCCCTCGTGATGGAATCTATTTCTTTGCATCGAAAGTGTAGCACTGAGCTACAGTACTTATGAAAATATCGTTTCATTTATATAAATTGTACGAATGGAACGATATTTTAGATGAAAAGGAATAGACCTCATATTTGATCAAATGACAATTGACATATGACAGACATTTCATTAATGTTGACAATTGAAAATAAAATGGTGTTTGGCCTCGCTTGTAATAAAGTTTGGATGAGTTTAAAAATAATAAACAACTTATCTATAAACTTTTAAATTAACTAAAAGTGATAATAAGAGGCCGGATTGAAGTGTAAAGTTTGTGACTTTCTTAAGGCTATGGTAAAGCTACATGAAAAATCACTTCCAATTCAAAGTGTGATCAGGCTTGGCAAATGTAGAAACAATCGTTTTACGTGCTAGCTATTCAAGCCAAAATGAAGAAGGTAACTTAATTTCCTTTAACAAAATGTGGCTTTTATACATTCTAGACATTATTTCTTTATTTGTTAACTTTAAAAATAACTATTTTAGGTATTTTTTTTTTTAATTCAAGGTAGCAAAAATGTGTGTGAGTTTATCAGAAGATGCATAGCTCCCCTCAAGGTACGAGTTGTGTAAGTTGTTTTCATGTACTGGAAAAAAGGAAGACGCCAAGTTAAAAATAGCTACAGACATTATGGGTAGTTATTTTAACTTAATATCAATTGTTTATATCGTCATTTAATTAAAACATTTTTAGATTCGGTAAATTGGTAAACAAAAAAGAAATAGAAATTAAAATAGATGACTGGTTGTGAAGGGCTCCTGAAAGAAATAGACGCAATGAATCAAAGCGTAATAAATAACAATTTTTATTTTTGTGTCAATTTTTTTTTCTAATAAATTTATAAAAAAAAAGTAATAGATTTTATTATCCTACTAAAAAAAACGTTTAGGTCATTTCAGGAACGTTCCAGCAATGGTATAAAAACTTACCTAAGACGTATAACCAACATCGCAGGATGTTCCACAAACGTCTCTAATACGTTACAAATGATGACATGGTCATTTCCAGAAACATCCCAGGTACGTTTGCGGGAAAATAAGAAACATGACCCAAGTGCATTTTTCTAGAACGTTCTTAAAACAATACTGTGCTATTAGGGAAGTGTAAAAGGCGCATTTAACAAATTTTTTAAAAACAAATTCTCTTTGTCGTTTATCAAAAAATGCCACGTTTAACTGAACGGGAAAGAATAGAAATAAGTTAAGAACACATCTGGAAGCATGTGAATTATTCAACTAAGAGTACCCTGATAGACCGCCTATTGTAAGACCTACAGTAAGTAAATTGGTTACCAAATTTACCGAAACGGGATTCGTCTATGATTTGCCTCAGCAAGGTCGGCCTCCAGTAAACAATGAAACTAGATTAAATGTGTTACTCGAAGCTGAAGAAAATTTTTCTGCCAGGCAGCTAGCCCTAAATAATAATGTGGACCACTATTTTGCCATGAGGTTGTTCAAAAAGAGAACTATCATCCTTACAAGTTTCAATTAATTCACGAATTAAACGAGGATGATCCAGACCCCCGCTTGCAGTTTTGCGAAAAACTAATGTTACGCTGCGATGAAGACCCCAATTTTTTAAATAATATCCACTTTTCTGACGAAGCCACTTTTGGGGTTGTAATGCAGTTCTTCTCACTTGAGATAAGGGTGACTAGCTCAATTAATTTTATTTACAATAATCGGAGAGATAGGGTTGTGGAAAGATAAACAAAAGTATGGTTTAGCCAGAATGACAATCTAGGGTTGCTAACAGATTACCATATTTTAGGACCAGATGACCTTGAACTTAAATTTGAATAAATTAAAGTGATGTAGATTTTAGCAAAGAAGAAGTAATTTGGAATTTGAACAATTGCAATTAGATCCATAAAAGAGAAGAGGGAAGGTCAAGGTCGACAATTTATGTCAAACTGTTTGTTTACATTCAGGTACAGGTTATAGAAAATTAATATACATAATTTGAACAATCTTGTGTTTTCTTTTATCGACAGATAAGCTTATTATTAAATTATTTAAATTTTATATAAATATTTCAACGATAAAATGCGAACCGTCTCCCCACTTTGGAATAACCGTCCGTTAATATATTGACACCACATTTCTGGAAAGGTGGATAGGACGTCGAGAAGTAATTGAATGGCCACCGCGTTCCTCAGACCTAACTTCCTAAGATTTTTTTCTGTGGGGTTATTTAAAATCAAAGGTGTATTTTAATAGGCCAAATAATTTAGATGAGCTACGGCGAAGAATTCGCGCTGAAGTGGAGCACATTACACCTGAAGTCCCTAAGCGAAGTGTACAAAGTGTTTACACTAAATTTTTTTTTTTTTTTTTTGGGGCGGTATTAGGATTTTTTTTTTCATTGAAATTAAATTTTGATTTCTTTCGGTAAGTTATTTTTTCAAAAAAAGTTGTTATTTGAGGTACCAATTTTTTTACACTACCATTAAGTAATCTATTAAAAACAGCAAAAAAATTAGGGTTGTCATTTAAAAAACCAATGATGACGTCATTTCGCAAAAATACATGATGTCATAAGTAAAAATTTTATGCCATAAGGTAGCTAATTAAATATTAAAATTGACCTGTCTGAATGTTTTACTTGAAAACATTAAATAATGCAATTATGATTACAGATACAGATTTGTAGAGTTTTACTTTATGCTCCTGGATTTGGTGTGGAGCCTCAAAGCTCTTGCTGGTAGCTGTTGAATTCTAGGTTATTAAGAAATTTCTGAAGAAGTATTTGTCCCTGTACCATTGAAAATACAGTGTGGAATCACGTGCTGTTTTCGTGGTACGTTTACCAAAACTAAATAAATTAGTTTGCAATTTTAAAGATATTTGAATAATTTTATAACTAGATAATACATCTAAAAGGCCTTCGATTTCTAGAATTTGAGTCTGGAAGTTTCCGATTGCAAAAGATTTCTGGAAAATTTCTAAAACAGATGCACAGGCAACTAACTAGATATTTATAATTAAAAATTCTATTAACTTCTCTATTAAGAAAAATGTTTTCCAAATAACATCTAAGATAATTTATTAAATATCATAGGCTAAATGTATGGGTTTCAATAAAAAATCTTACCCTTTCTTCGATTAAACCCAACGCATCACCCAATACTCTGTAACAAGTTGTTTTTCCAGCAAATGGATAACCTACGAGCATAAGACCGTGTCTGACATTGATCATTTCGTACAATTGTTGAACTTTTTGCAAGAAAAATGGCACGCATTGAATGTTCATCACTTTGCAAACATCTTTAACGGCTTTGTTTAAGATTACGTAATCAGGTTCCGGTAGTACCGCTCCAGGGAATAAATCTGAAGTAATGCCCTAAAAATAATAAACATATTTAGGTATGGGCCTCTGTAGAACTCCATTTGTGATAAATAATAAAATCAATATGTTTCTCGTTATGAAATTAACTAAATATAACTACAAAAAATCATCGCAGTAATATTTTTGTAAATTCTAAGCCTTAGTAATCAGGATTCGTAATCTACAGTAGGATTCCGAAAACGTCTAAGTCTACAAATTAATAAAATTTAAAAAATATATATATAAATATATACTTGCCTCGAATAGAGGTACATCCTGTTCCAAAAATTTAGCCAAATTGATATCAATTATGGATCTAAGGACCAAAATATCTTCCCTTTCTTTAGGATATCTTAATTTTAGAGCACCTGCAGCTCTTAAAACAGATTTTACTGCTCTCATACCTAAAAAAGAAGAATTATAAACTTTTCCCATTATTCGACACTTTTGAATCTAGTAATTTTCCAAACAACTACTTTCTATCTCTCTTTTATTATCGCTTTAAAACTGTTGGGTTTTCTACGACGATTTAAACAACTGGCATCTAGTCTATATAGTAGAGGAGCCAGTGAAACTCTTTTGGTACACATTTGCGTAAGGTTAACTTATAAATCTATCATTTATTCTTACACTGTAGAAGATGCAAATACTTTGCTGCAGGCGCACCAGCGGTGGAGCACTCGATGATTAAGTCTTCAAAAAGCCGATGTAAAAAATGCTAACAGAAAAAGTTTTCCGCTACCTTAATAGCGTTGAAAAACCGTCATGTTTAAAAAATGTAATTGCTATAATATGCTGTATTTACGCAATGCTCATTTTTTGTGATAGAATATTACATATTACTGATAATTAGAGGGCGGAATATATGCATCAAAATATAACAAAATATGCGCATATATATACAGGGTGGCCACTTTTTTAATGGGATTGTATTAGTAATTTCCAAACCATACTAGTTAGAAAGTCGGTGGTTAAATGGAGAAAAAGTTGCGTATCTCGAAGCATAATCTAGCGGTGAAAATTAATCGAAAATAGCAGGCACGGTTCTTGAGATATTTCGATAAAAGGAAATTCGATCATTTTGGTTTTTTGGTTATCGTTCATTTATTTTTAGAACTACTAAAAAATATTTTAAAGGTTTTTTATTTGATAGTAAATTTTCTTTGATTTGACGTTTTCATATTTTGCATCCAACGTTTCGTATTCTCCAGACCACTATCAACTTTTTTTTTTAAATATGGGCCTGGATATTTTATAACATTATTTAAAATAACTTTTTATCCTGCATCCAGCGGTGTATTACACAATGGCATTCAGTGACAGTTTTTGGGTAATATGGACCGTAATCCAAATTTTATTGGTACGGATCATCTGTATTGAATTTATAATCAGCGTTAATTTTTTCAGTGTATAATACTTCGAAGATAAAGTAATTATAATTAGGAAGAAATAAATGAGAATTAATAATTATTCAATTATTCGACTATTAAAGAGTATGTTTTGATAAGGTAAATGATTAAAAGATATTCTCGATTCTATTTTTGACAATACATACCTACCAAATTTGAAGGCAAAATATTATTTTATTACTGGCACAGCAATTGATATGATTTTAAACTAATATCATCTTACTTGTTATAAAATATAGTAGGCCGTGAAAACAATCCATATTACAAGAACTGTCACATTATTATTATGTTGTTCTTTATTGCTTTACGAAAATTTCTCATTGTTCAAAAGTTTTTTGTGTGTTTCTTGGTACCTAGTGTAACTTCAATATGGTAAGATACACTGCAGAAGAAAGACGAGATATGTACGAATTATACATCAAACTGAACAGAAATTCGTTCAGAGCAAAACAAAGGTACGAGGATTTATATCCCGATAGAACGCAACCAAATATAAAAATTTTTCGGCGTTTGTGTACAACTCTTCTCGAACATAATACATTCGATAAAGCTAGAGTTCCGTATGTTCGAAGAAAGGAGCCAGTCAACTATATTAATGTCTTAGCTCAAATTCGAATAAATCCAGGAGTTGGATCGAGGACTATTGCAGGTGAATGTAACTTATCAAAAAGTGCTGTTAATAAGATAATCAAGAGACACGGATACCATGATTACAAATACCAAGCTGTACAAAAACTATATCGTAATGATCCTGAAAGAAGATTGCGATTTTGTAATTGGTGTAAACAAAAGGTAAGAATTAATAACAACTTTGCATACAATATCATTTGGGGAGACGAAACAACATTTACAAATTCTGGTTTGTTCAATCGAAGAAATAAACATTTTTATGCCACGGAAAATCCTCACCTAATCCAAGAAGTGAGACATCAATATCGTTTCTCTTTGAATATGTGATGCGGTTTGTTAAATAATAAATTACTGGGACCATACTTTATTGACGGAAACCTTACTGCAGAAAAATATTTAGATATACTGCAGGATATGTTAGATGATCTTCCTTTAGAGTATTGTTTTAACGAAATCTAGTTCCAACAAGATGGATGTGGTCCACACAATTCAAGAATGGTCACGGATTATTTGAATCAGACTTTTCCCAATTCATGGATTGGAACAAGAGGTCCAGTGGCGTGGCCTGCCAGATCGCCAGATCTGAATCCATTAGATTTTTATTTGTGGGGACGTCTCAAAAATAAAGTGTATAATACACCAAATGCAACAATTGAGATTCTCCGCGAAAAGATTGAAGATGCATTGGAAAATATCCAAGAAGAAGAAGTAAGCAATAGCTTAAGAAATATGAATATCAGAATTGCTAAATGTATTGAAGAAGATGGCAGGCATTTTGAACAATTACTCAATTAATTTTATTGATATTTTCAAATAATTTGATTATGACTAACAAAAACTGAATTTCTTTTTGTTATTATCATTAATTGCGTTTTAAAATTTCTACATTACTATTGTTATTGTTGATGAATTGTTTAATTTTCAAAAAATTACATAAATTTTGTAAGAATTGATTTTATTTTTTTATCGAGGAGCATGACATGTTGATTCAACTAAATATGGCTGAAACCAAGCGTAAATTAAATAAAATTTGGATTACGGTCCATATTACCCAAAAGTCGTCATTGAATGCCATTGTATAATACACCGATGGATGCAGGACAAAAATTTATATCAAATATCCAGGTCAATATTAAAAAAAAATAAGTTGAGGGTGGTCTGGAGAATACGAAACGTTGGATACAAAATATGAAAACGTCAAATCGAAGAAAATTTACTATCAAATAAAAAACCTTTAAAATATTTTTTAGTAGTTCTGAAAATAAATGAACGATAACCAAAAAACCGAAAAGATCGAATTTCCTTTTATCGAAATATCTCAAGAGCCGGGCCTGCTATTTTCGATTAATTTTCACCGCTGGATTATGCTTCGAGATAGGCAATGTTTTCTCCATTTAACCGACTTTCTAACTAGTATGGTTTGGAAATTACTAATACAATCCCATTCAAAAAGTGGCCACCCTGTATGCATCGTTTTTACCAAAAATATGCAGTTATTTTGTCCAATTATGCCTAAATATGCAAATGCATATTTGTTAAAAATACTTAAAAAAAGTAGGGGGTGGGTAGCTCAGTGGTTAGTGCGTTGGCCTGTGGACTTAGGGGTCCCGGGTTCAAATTCCAGCCGCGACGCGATTTTTTAAATTAATTAATTTATTTAAAAATTAATTCTGATGCCTAGCGAATATTTCCACTTGACCATTCACTGTTGGGTTCTAATTAACATTGCTGTTCCTAATTTGGTACGCTATCAAAGCCATTACACGAAAAAAAAAAAAAAAGAAAATATGTAATATAAAAATTTATTTAAAACAAACGAAACACAAAAACTAGTAGAAGTTAAGTATAGAATAGTATAAAAATATTAAATAGTAATATTATAATAGGAATTTATAATTAAATATTTTTCGAAATTTTCTATTAAAAATTTTTGTCTTCTGTCTGTAAAAATATGTTTTGATATAGAAAAGGTCCTTTCAACATCTACCGAAGTAATAGGACAATACCGTAATTTTGGAAGTAATGTACAGGGCCAACGTAAAACTTCTTTGGAAAATTTTCCCTCAAAAATGTTTTTCACTTCCCTTATTTCATTGAACCCTTCATTCTTTAATAAAGTTGTATTTACTTTTTTTCTAATCTTAAGGCCTATGTCACCAGGAACATTGTTACATTTATCGGAAACTGTTGCAATAAAATTTGTTGATTCGATTAAACTTAAATTTTTCTTTTCCAATGAAGTTATTACATCAGGTAAAAAACTAAAATTAACCTTTATAAACACAAGTTGCTTAGGCACAAGGGGATTTTTTAACAATTCTTTACTTTGCACTACACATTGTGAATTGTTTTCTATATCCAAAATTAAATCCTTAATTGCTTCAAAATTTTCTGCATAGAATATAGCTGCTTTAATCCATGTCCCCCATCGCGTAATTACGGGTTCCGGGGGCAAACACACCCCTACCATTCTTTCTTTATACAACTGCACTCTTAAAGGGGCTTTTAAAAATATTTTTTTCACATTCGAAATTAGCTTGTTAACCAAGGGATATTCTGTTCTCACAATTTTGTGCAACTAAGTTTATTCCATGCAGAAGACAAGTAACGTGGACCATATTTGGATAAAATATTTTTAAGTTTTGCCCTACTTTTATCATATATGGTGCTGCGTCAGACAAAAACACTAAGAACTTCTCTGAGGGAATTTGATTTGGTAAAAAAATCTGCTAGATATTGTTAAATAAATCGGGTAACAGTTGTATTGTTAGTTTTTTCTAACTGTTTTGATGCAATTAAATATGATGTACCTGGTTCATTTTCTTTTAAGGCTCCAATCATAAGATGTACCATATATCTTCCACAAGCATCTGTGCTTTCATCAACAATGATGTAAAAATTGCTATCATCCAGTAAAACTTTAATTTATTCTATTACATTTATATATATATATATAGCATGTACATTTTTTTTTCTGAGTGTAGATTCGTCAGGAATGGTTCGATTGCAATATTTTTGTAAAAATTCTCTTAGATGTAGGTTTTGTGACTTCTTTAATGGAATATTTGCCGCAACAAGAGCTTTGCACAAGTCCTGATTAAATACCTCCTTGTCACTTTTTGTTTTGTCGGCGTTTTGAAATGACCTCACAACGCATTGTTGAACCAGTTGCGATTTCATTTTTTGCAATTTGGCTTTATGCAATGATGTTTTCACGTGTTGAACCACTTTGAACTTTTTTTTCGCAAACCCCTATTTTGGCACAAGCTTTACAAAAAACTTTATCCCCATTGATTTCCAACTCTGGAAAGTTAATAATCCACGAAGAAATTCTCGACATTTTAGGACACTTTTAAAACAACAAATTATTACAAGACTTTTCACTAGGCAAATAACGAGGATACTATCTCATTAAACTGAATGAAAAACATTCAAAATATTCCGATGTTAGGGTAGATTGGTTACAAGAAATTACTGAGAATTTTATATAAACCGTTTTATTGCATTGTAGGTAATACTTTATCTGTGTAAATACCATCTATTAACAATTACCTTAATGGGCTTAATCTCTTAAGAAGGTAAAAACCCAGTGCATTTTACCCTCCAAGAACTAATTAACAAGAATTTACAAGAAGTGACACTTAAAAACAAATACAAAAATTTAAAAGGTCTTTATTTCAAATATATCTGTATAATCTGTTAAAACAGTTTTTGATTTGCACAGTATAGTAATACATTTTTTTTTTTCGAAAATATGCAATATTTTCTTAAATTTTCTGAACTTTGGTAAAATATGCAATATTTTCTGAATTTTGGAAAAATATGCAATATTTTCTGAACTTTGGTAAAATATGCAAAAAATGCATATATATGCATTTTGCATATATTCCGCTCTCTACTAATAATAATCGTTTGTTGCAATCGATCTGGTGCTGAAATGCCCTAGCAGTAAGCAAAATAGTACTGTGAGCTGAATTTCAAGGTTTCAGCAAACTTTTTCTATTAACTTTTCATGTAAATATTATTCTAAAGTTTTAAGCTTGCCTTTTTTGGCACAGGCTTTTTCAAGGCAACATCGTCGAAAGGCTTTATCGCTGCTGGGACTGCAGCAAATTATTTTCATGTTTTGCAAGGTAAGAAGGAGCAAAATATTTGCAATTTTGCGTTTAGCAAATAACACATTTAAAAGTGTCCCCTACCAATAATTAAACTTCACTACCAAAAGTAAAAACAAAATGTTATATTTGCGGATGTGTTATTGTAACTCAAGTTAGGAAATATACCAAAAATAAATTTTGATGATTTTAAGAGAAAATAGGATTTGCGCATGAGTTATAGAGATCATCGATAACGGATAGGTTATTAAGGGTGTCCAAATTTAACTTTCGGATTTAATTTAATAATAAAACACAAAAAGTCCTTGAAATAATATAATATTATTGTATTATTTTAAAGTTTAAATGTTACGGTTAATTATAAAAAATGATATCCGGCATGTGACCTCTTTGTTTCTTTAGCATGCTATAATTCTTTTTACAAAATTTTCAATAATATTTTCGCAAATATTCTGTTAAATTTTTTGAATAATGTTAACTCAAAGCTATTCAGGTTGAGGGTTATTAGCATAAACTTTGCCCTTCAAAAAGCCCCACAAGAAATAATCCGATTGTGTAAGGTCGCACCACCTAGGCGGACAATTAACCCCAACTCTTCGAGAAATTATTCAAATGCCAAATCTTTCCCTTAAAAGATTTGATGTTTTATCCAATGTGTGGCAAGTGCATCATCTTGCAGCAACCACATGTTCTGGACATCTATATCTTCTAATTCGTTCCACAAATAATCTCGTAATCATTGTCCTGCTTCATTTTGGAAAAAAATAGGAAAAATATCTCCACTAAACCAAAAACCACACCACAGTCTTGAATTTTCTTCACCACATATTCTGCTGTTAAATTATATTCATAAAACTCTCAATAACTTTATTCCGAAATACGTAGAAATACTGTCAATGAAAATTACCAAAAATAGCGGAAAATTTAATTTGAAATGTTAAATTTGGACACCCAATAAATTTATCATAGTGAGATTTGCAAGTTTTTTAAATGGTTTGCTAATGGAAGTTTGTTTATATTAGTTAGGACATTTCTAGATATTATGTGCTCTGACGTTTCATTGTTGTCTTAGAACTAAAAAAATAATTATAGAGGATGGCCAACGGTAATGCCTCAGTCTGGTAGGGCCAAAACTATTTTATTTTTTATATAAATAATTTTATTTATACATTGTTTTCCAAAAATCATATATAGCAAAGTTAGCAAAGTTTTTTTAATGGAACACCCTGTGTTTTATTTTGTATTAGTATTGCCCACGCTATAACCAGTTTTATATGAAATCGTACTGATTTCAATTACCTGTTAACTCCGAAAAAAACTATTGAAAACCATTTTTTTTTTTCAGAAGTTTGAAAATATTAGTCAAAATATTATGCCGATGCGCTACTTTTTAAATTCAAAGAAATCTGTTCAGTGTGAGTCACAACCTTAGATTATACAAACCTTAGATGGAACATAAGACATTGCGCATAATCCCATTTCAAAATGATTCACACCCACCAATCACAGTTGAGAACATCACATGTCAGACCGTTATCCATCCAAATTTAATGTGTCAACGAGAATTAATTTGGTATTATAGTGACTTAAATTTTGGAAATTAACGTTGAAAATGCCAAGATGTGTTGTAAAAAGCTTTATTTATAATAAACCTGTGAAATGTGACGCAGATAAAAGAAACTTATATTTATTTCGGTGAGATATTTAATTTTTAAAGATTCTGTCGACGTCCATATTTGTTGATTTGAAAATAAACAGAATCGGACTTGGTCATTGGTACATGTTATAAGTAGCAAATAAAGGTTATTATTATAAACTGTTTACTATTTCTTGTTTCATAGGGAATCTTTTTTTAGGAAGTGAAAAGAGAAACATACAATCAAATACAAAAATATTGTCACGAATTGCATTTAAAAATAATTAGATTTTTATTAAAGATAAAATAAAGTACTTTCCAAAAATATATTTCAACTCAAATTTTAATAAAGCCATTTCCAAAAATATAATTTTATTTCAATCTTTTTAATTTCCATTCAATTCCAATTTGTGTTTAATATTACATTTAAAGTTATTTAAAACAATAACAATCTTTTTCGTCTAGTAATTAAAAACTTTATTTTATGTTGAAAATAAACAATGCACTCAATTCGGTTATGCTGATTCTACAATTTCAAAACAATGTTGGGGTCAGCTAGCCAAATTGACAAAACAAAAAATAACAACATTTTTGGCACAACCGAGGCTATAAGTTCAGTGTACCTTGGACTCACCAAGGCTGCTGCTACCCAGACCTACGTCTATTGTTTACTCAGTGGTAACATAACCTAACTTTTCGAACTTTCGCAACATAATTATATTTTTCCGATCTATTAATTGTCCGAACAAAATCGTGTGCCAGGTAAAGTGTTAAAAACAATTTCGGAGTGTAACCCCGTGTATGGGGGAGCCCTCCGGGCCAACCAAAACCGGATACGAGACATTATACTCTCGCCGTGTCCGCGAACGTATCAACGCTGCCTCAAAACCTCCCACGGTCAACGTAAATGTGTCGAAGAAACACGTTGCCCTATACAGCCCGAAGATATTCAAAGCAAAACGTACCCACCCATACAAAACTGTGAGTACTGCAAGAAATTTGACTAACTCACCTAACCCGGGGTCATATTCCACATTTAGAAGGAACCCCCTGGCCGAAAATTTCTCCGAAAAAAGCTTGGAGAAAACACTCGTAATACATCAGGTGAAAGACACCAACACAAAACGGCTGGCCTCTGAGAGCCAAGGCCCCGAGGAACCCAAACTCACAAAGCCAGACAACCAGCAAAATCAGCCGCATAAAATCATAAATTATGAAAGTATGGAGAAACCGACTCAAGAAAGTTCGGAGAAACACAAGATGAAAAGTACGGAGAATTCAACCCAACAAAGTATGGAGAATTCAACCCAACAAAGTAAGGAGAAAGCTGCCAGCAATCTACAAAGTTTGGAGAAAGCTGACCACGACCTACAAAGTTTGGAGAAAGCTAACCGCAACCTACAAAGTATGCAGAATGCTGCCAACTTAGTCGAAACCAATGTAGACACAGAGCAGACTCACGAGGACGATGCACAGACAAGCGACGACATACTAGAAACTTCGGAGAATAGTGTTGAAATTCTGAGATCGGACAGTATGGAGAATCTTCGAAAAACGCTTGAAGACTCCAATAGCGAACCTAGCAGCCCGGAGTCAACTGATTCTACGGAACTAAACATCGACGAACAAGAATCGGGAACAGACTCCCCCGATACGATAAAAAATGCGTCAACTTTTATACCTCCTGAAAAGTATGGAGAAAATCAAAATCAGACACAAGACTTCCCAGAATTCACCTCGGCATACAAAACGCTGCCAATACCGCCAAATGTCACTGCTAGGATCCTAAACTTTCAACAAAGGGATGATTCATCAGGGGAGGACGCATCACAAAATAACAAGGGGCCCACACCCTCTAATATAATACAAACGACGGTAGAGACCAACCACACAACTTTATTGCCCCAGAGACCGCAATATATATCCCCTAAATCGCCAGTTCCCAAAAGAAAAAGGACAAAAGAGAACCAACAGGAAAACCTGGATGAAATCCAGACATTCATGGAGACAGACGAAACAGACGGGAAGTTTCAGACCCCGAAAAAATTCTCCACGAACTTCGTAAAAATATTACGACAGAAAGCAGTGAGATCCCTCAGCCTGAAAAACAAGTACGATGTGCTTACGGAATCTGAATCAGAACCTGAAACAGACAATGAACCCCCTGAGCCAAGGAAAAACATCCCTAACCCCAAAACTCAGACAACATCAAAACCAAAACCAAATAACTCAAAACCAGAGACGAAAACCACACAAGTGGCAAAGAAGACAGCTATGCCACCAATTGTAGTATAAGGTACCACCGATAACCACGAGAACCTTAAAAGGGATCTTAAAAAGATCATCTCTGGACCCTATACGGTAAAATACACCGCGAACTCGACAATATTATTCGTGGAACAGCAAACAGACTACTCAGACCTAATCACGAGCATCAAAGAGGCAAAGATCCCATTCCACACATACACAAGCAGAGCAGAAAAATCCCATGCATTTGTCCTCAGAGGGTTGACAACAGGAACAGAAAAAGAGCATATAGAAGAAGACTTAATTCAATCGTATGATATTAAACCGAGAGAAATATATCAAATGTCGACCAAAATCAGGCCACTGTTCCTTGTAGTCACGGACCCTGCCATAACCCTCGATTTTCTCAACAAAAACGTGCGAGTAATTGAAAATACAAGGATAACGTGGGAACTGAGAAAGTCCACGAAAGAAATTATACAATGTCATAATTGTCAGGCGTGGGGGCACGCCACCGCAAACTGTGGTAAACCCTCCAAATGTTTAAAATGTGCAGAGGCACATCACACGAGGACATGCATCAAGACCCGGGACACCCCTGCAACATGCGTTAACTGCGGGGGTGACCACCCGGCAAATTACAGCCAATGTAAGGCCTATCTGGATAGGCTTGAGAGACTGCGAGAAAAAAGAACTCAGAGGCCACCACAGAAGTTCTTACCAGCCCCAATTCCGAAGGTAAACATGTGGGACAAAAACAGAACGAGCACCAGGAACGACAACCAAGAATTTCCACCCCTTCCTCCCAGAAGGGCACAGCAGCCACCACAACAGCAAAACCAACCACAACAACAAAGTCAGGGAGCTATGGATGACATATTTGCCCTGAATGACGAATTCAACACCCTTAACTCCCTAGTTAATATAGCGGAACTCACCAGAGCGGTAAGAGACCTAAATACAGCGATCAGACGCTGCAGAGATGAAAGAGAGGTATTTTTAACGTACAATAACTTTGTTTCTAACCTAAACTCATACAAAATCAGAAATTAAATTCAACGCGACAGACAAGGACAAAATCAGAATCTGTTTTTATAATGTGCACGGCTTACTCTGTAAGAAAGGGTTAGTCACTAACTTCATTCACAAGCATCAATTCGACATTATAATTTTAACCGAGACATTTTTACAACCGACGAATAAACTTAAAATCAGAGACTACCATATTATTAGACAAGACAGACCCATTATACAACATCAAGCAGCGGGAGGGGTCGCGATGCTTATCAAAAAATCAATTAAATTCGAACAACTTGCGAATGCGAACATAGCACCACATATTGAACACGCGATTATCAAAATTGATAAATTCACGGTGATTGGAGTGTATAATCCGCCCACTTTCGTAATTCAACCAATAGATTTACACACGCTTATGTCGAAAGGCACCAGAGTTATTCTCGCAGGAGACCTTAATTGTAAGCACCCACAATGGGACTCGAATTGTACCAAAGCAAATAGAGCGGGAAACTTGTTGAGAGAAGTCACCGAGGACAACGGCTATATAATACATTACACGGAAGAACCGACATGTATACCCTTTAACAACTCCACACCTAGTACACTGGATATTGCAATTACCAAAAACATACAGGACGTACACAACATCAGAACCATAACCACACTTAACTCGGACCACGATCCAGTGTACTTAGAAATCAAAACTACCAACAAAATTAACAGACAACAGACACAATACTACGACTATAAAAACACAAACTGGAACACCTACAGACGGATAATAGAACACAACATCACAATCAATAGAAGTATACATAACATACAACAACTAGAACGAACTACTAATGAATTTATTACTGTCGTACAAAAAGCTAGAAACGACACTACTAAAGTCAAAACAAGGACGCAACACACAGACCACCTGCCACCAGAACTCATAGACTTAATTACGAACAAAAACCACATTAGAAAGAGGTGGCAGACGCATAGGAGAGAAGAAGACAGGGTTCGACTTCATGACTTAGCCAGTTACATTAATAACGAAATAAATCAACACAGAAACTCTAAATGGCAAAAAACCCTGTCCGAAATCAACCCTATGGACAACTCAATGTGGAGAGTGGTGAAGGGGCTTAAGAAACCTCAGTCGCTACTCCCCCCATTGACACAAGGACAAAACACATTCACAACAGACACTGACAAAAGCATGATATAAGCAATATCATGCTCAAAAATCTACCGATTAAAGCGGTTGTACACCTCCATTATATAATAAATGCCATTTTCAGGCTACAACACTACCCTAGTAGCCTGAAAGTGGCAAATATCATACCGATTCTCAAACAAGGTAAAAACCCAAAACATATTGAAAGTTACCGACCTATCTCACTGCTGAACACAATAGCAAAAATCACAGACAAAATCATTTTAAAAAGACTAAAACAAATAGAAGAACAACGACAAATTGTCCCGCAGGAACAGTACGGATTCAGAAGCGGACATAGCACCGTGGCCCAGGTCATTAGAATCGTGCATCATGCCAAACAGGCGTTTAATAATGACCTGCAAACGGTGCTTGTCACCCTAGACAGTGAGAAAGCTTTCGATACCGTATGGGCCTGCGGGTTAATTCACAAGATGCTGGTGAATGAATTTCCATTGCATATTGTAAAGATAATTCTGTCTTACTTACAGGACAGACAATTCAACATTAAACTAAACTCCACAATTACAGGACCATACAAAGTGCAAGCGGGAGTACCTCAGGGCTCGGTACTATCGCCGCATCTGTACACCATCATGACCCATGATATGCCAATGGGACATAATGGTGTACAGACGGCGCTATACGCCGACGACACCTGTGTCTTCAAAAGTGACAAATCAGCAGAAACAGCAGTAAGAGACCTGGACGCCCATATAAACGACACGTTAATCCCCTATTTAGCTGAAAACAAAATGAAACTTAACACCACAAAAACCGAGTGTGTCCTACTCACAAGAAGGAGAACACAACCAATACTCAACCCATTAAAAGTTGGAGACGATGAAATCCCAACTAAAACATCGGATTTCAGCTAGATAAGGAATTAACTTTTAAAACGCATGTAAAAGAACGGGCAAACAAAAGCAGTGCAGTCACTCGCATGCTGTACCCATTAATAAATAGAAGAAGTAGGATGTCACTATCAAACAAACTGCTACTATACAAAACCATACACAGGCCTATACTAACATATGGGTGTCCAGTGTTCTGCTCAATGGCAAACACTCACTACAAAACTCTGCAAATCGCTCAGAACAGGTGTATTAGGCTAGCCCTGGGCTATAATCGCTATGCACGAATTACGGACATGCACATACAAACAGACATCCCTTACATTAAACAATTTATACTCTCGACAGCTAACAACTTCTACGCGCGATGCCTCCCAGATTCACTAAGGGAAAGCATCACTAACATTCATAGAGGAGACAACGTGCGTAGAAAACACGGATGCATACACTCCAGACTAGACATCTTCAGAAATAGATAGTAACCCCCCCCATAACAGCGCCAAACATACTAACGACAATTCACACCGACTAGATACCCAAAATATCTGGTCGGACGGCGGAGTGCACGCTGGCTCGGGCACCGGGACATCGACCGAAAGCCCTATACACCTTCGATCGATGTCCGGGTGGAAGTACTAACGTTCACCAAGTCAGTGGATTGTGACAATAACCAAAGACTAAACAAAGACCAACTCACATACAAGGACAACCCTGTTTTTTACTAGCTTTTTCCAGGGGACAATAAACACAACTAAGACACGACAAAACTTAAAAATACTTCTCAATTATCGATTCAAAAACATCCAAATCCTTCAATAATACCGTTACGGTAAGGAGTGAGGGCCGCTATAATTAGAATAACAATCACCCATCGGTTCTAACAGGCAGATATGTCTGCCATGGTTCCCGGGCCCGCATGAAATCTTAGGTTTCACGTCGAATTGTTTTTACCAGTGTGTGAATATGTAGATAAATTTATATTGTAAATAAAGAATTTTAAAACCGAAAAAAAGAAGTATTACAGCAATAAAAATAAAAATAAAAAATAAAGTCGTGACATTCCAGCTTGCTGTTAAAATATGTGGTAAGGTTTTTTATAAATCTAATATAAAATAAAAGCTCAAAAGGTATTTCTGAGAGAAGTAACCAGTTAATTCTTCAAATTCTTTGTAGTGTATATATATTGTATATTTGGGGGTGTATTATAACATTGAGGATTTCTGGGTAGTTTAGGGGATTTTAGTTTGTGTTCATTAAAGATTTTTAGTTTTTTATTTGTGACTTTTATTCCTTCCTCAGTAGCGTAAAGCCAAGCCAAGCGTAATAAATCATAAGAAAGGTTCTCCAGTGAGTATTTTCGGGTGGCGCAAAGATCTTCCTCAACTGGAAGATCGTTTGGGCGATCCGAAATACGCAGTGGCGTACCCCACGATTAATCGGTTTGCCTAACAAACCACTTAACGTGACAATATCAATTTCATTGCCAATTTATTCGTTTCAAACTTCACAACTGGTTTCAATAGTTTTCTCAAAACTATTTATTTAGTAAT